TGGGTTGTGACCGTTCAGATCGCCCATGATGATACATGGCTTCGGAAGCTGGTCATATAGGTTTTTAAGATCCGACTGTCTAATATCAGTAGAGGGAGGAATGTATAAACTGCACAGAGTCAATGCAATATGCAGGGTGATGTGAACAGCAACAGTTTGAAGATTTGTACTAAGAGGAACAGGGCTGTGTATTATCCCTTGCCGTACCAAAATGGAAGCACCTCCAGTTGCTTTGTCTCCTGGAGGAGAGAAAGAGTGATAATCACTATACCGTCTCAGAATAAAGTTATCGGTATATTTTAGATATGTCTCTTGGAGACATATAGCTGACGGTTGAAAATCCTGTGTTAGTAATTGAATCTCGTTGAAATTATGTTTGAGTCCTCTGCAATTCCATTGAATTATAGTGGACAATTGAGTCATGGTGCCTCAATTGGTGATCGTCCACGTGAATGTGAGGAAGTGGAGCTCCTCCGGGTGTCCTGAGTGGACGGTGACACCTCCATATCTAGAGGTTCAAAGGGGTTCTCAAAAGGAACCTCTGAAGGTATTGGGACAGTTGGTAATTGTTGTTTCCTGTTGAATTTTTTTTTCCTTTCTTTTTGGGCAAATGACCAGTGTTTGACTGTTGAGCTGACGCTTGTGATGTCTCTGGCTGAGTCTTAGTCTGAGAGTCTGATAAAGACTGAGAGACAGATGAAGTCTGAGATCCAGATGAGGTCTGAGAGGCAGATGGAGATTGCGTGGCTCGGGATGTCGAGGGTAAGGGTGAAGAAGAATTCATGGGCTTCTCTGACTTGACCCAAGTCAGATCTGTTTGACAGGTAACAGAGGATGTCATTACAGACCGAGTTACTGCAGCAGAGTATGACGGATGTAATGGAGTCTGATTCTCACTTTTAAAGAGTTTTTTAGCGTCAAGGTATGGGATGTTCTTTTCACACTTCAGCTTCATTATTTTTGATTCCGTTTTCCAAACGGGACAGGATTTGGATGAAGAGTCATGTGGACCAGAACAGTTTGCACATTTAAACTCTTTGTCACAGTCTGCGTGTTCATGATTGTCACCACAGCGATGACACACCACAGAGCCACGACAAGAGTTGGATCCATGACCAAATTTCTGGCATTTATAACACCGGAGTGGACTGGGGACATACACATCCACTCCGATATTAAAGTATCCTGCCTTAATTGACTGTGGTAAAGATGCACGGGCAAACGTCAAGAGATATGTATTAGTTTTCACAAGGGTACCCTCTCTCTTGACGGTGAAACGTTTTACAGCGGTTACACCTTGATCTACAAGCTCTGCAGCAATATCATCCTCTGACATGTCGAACAGACGGCGAGCTCTGTCGTGAATGATTCCTCGACATGAATTTAATGTTCTGTGCACAGACACAGCAACCTCAATATTGGCAAAAGTTGTGATGGACAAAAAATTGAGAGACTGCTGTCTCCGTGCACATTCCACCAGAAGTGAACCACTACGGAGACGGGTGACGTTCTCAACATCTCCACAAATTCCAGAAACAGCCTTAGATATCGCAAAAGGATTTAGTTTTATAGGCAGAAAATCAGTTGCCTCAATCACAAGGAAACGAGCCCATGAGTCAGAATTCGAAGAAACAGTTTTTGAAGGGTCATCAACATGTTCGAAACGTCGCTTTTTTTCGTTTCGCAATGAACCAGATGGAGTGGGATCCATGATAAGTGTAAATAGATTCAGCACCACTGATCCCCACCCACCACGGAGTGTCAACAAGGACAGTGTCAAATAGCACCGGATCTCCTAGATGCTGACACCAGGGACACAGTGGCGTTATACTCCAGAGACAAAGACTTGAAAAGCTATGGAAAACTAAAAGAATAAATGCCAGGCTGGTTCGGCCCATGACACCATTCCCAAGAATCACAGATTCCAGAGGTCTATTATCACCAGATTGGCCCATGAGCCACCGCCTTCTGGCATAGGACTCTAGGCAATTTAAAGTAATAACATTTCAAACACATTAGATCCAAAAAATCCAAGACCCAATGATAATATAATGTGCAATATAGTCACCACGCACAGGGCTTGGCGTGACCAGCCGATTGATGGAACCGGGCCAGTTCCACCACCCGTCTAGGTGAAGTAAGGGCCGAAGTGGTGTGTTGGGCAACAGGAACACGGTTCCAGGATCCTATTGCCCTCAACCACCAGAATCCCGTCATCCACCGACACAGGGGCGCAACCCACGGCAAACGGGTTGGTGGACCTAATATCCCCCCGGGTCCACAACGGGGGGTTGAAGGGCGCTTAGCGTGACCCAGCACCCACCACGAGGAGGTGGCCCTTCATGGGTGCCGGCCTTCTGTTGGACAAACGATGAGGTTGAGGTAGCTTTATTTTCACACTCAACTTTATATGCACGGAAATTTGAGACTTTGAGAAAGGCTTCATCTTCCAAGTAAACTGCCACTCGTGGTCGACTTGAACTCGGACGGCCCTTAAAGTCATTTGTCTGTTTATGGTTGGTAGTCGATGGATGACAAACAACATCTCTAGCAATATCCCTCAATGACATGCCAGCATTCCATGTACCAATAACTTGCCATCTTTGAGCCATTATCCGTTGAGGGGACAATGGGCGTAGCTACCATAATAAAAACAAGCCCGAACTTGCACATGATTGTTGCTAAAAAGTCTGGACAAGCCCTCAATACTATCTAAATATGAAGCTCTGCAACCTGTCGGGCTTATACAAAAACAACTGCCTGCTACGCGCCTGGGGACGGTGGGGTAGGTCGATTGCTTAAGCATCCCCCGTTGTAACGCTTGTTTGATTCCCCACATGGGTACAGCCATTTCTGGTGTCCCCACCCGGATGTTGCTGGAATATTGCTGAAAGTGACGTAAAACCCAACTCGCTCACTCATTTGAGGAGGCCCTATATGTGCTTATCAACAATGAAATCAATTGCTTTTTTCAAGTTATGGAGTTGTGTACTATAACTTGATATGTGTTTAATGACGGGAACAAGCATTGCACATATTGTCATGCCTTTGATAGCATCAAGTGCATATCTAAGTTCTACGTATGACAAAGGGTCTATATAATCAACATAATTATGATATGAATATTAACGGCTGTATTGGGATTAATAGTCACAGTGTAGCGATGCATTTTTCCGTGTGTATACATTTTGTTGGATATTAAAATATTTCAAGTCATAGGTTGGTTGTTTTTAAGAGACTGTCAAACTGGGCACTTAAAACCACATATGGGGCCTCGTCAAATGAGTGAGCGAGTTTAGTTTTACGCCGCACTCAGCAATTTTCCAGCTATATGGCGGCGGTCTGAAATAATCGAGTCTGGACCAGACAATCCAGTGATCAACAGCATGCGTATCGATCTGCGCAATTGGGAACCGATGTCATGTGTCAACCAAGTCAGCGAGCCTGACCACCCGATCCCGTTACTCACCTCTTACGACCAGCATAGTCACCTTTTGTTGCAAGCATCGGTTGCTTAAGACCTATTCTACCCTGCATCTTCACTGGTCTCATTGCCATGAGAAATGCCACACATATCGATGGGACGAACAATATTGAACAAACTTTATGGAAACGAAATAAAACAAGTTGTTATCCATAAACTTACAATAATCCGAAGATACCTTTTTGTACTAATTAGTGGTGAAGAAACGGCAATATCTTAATGTATGTTGTTAAACTATGGATGAGCGTATTCATCGTTGACATAAGATGCATGTTCAATAAATTTGGCTTAAGCACTTGTCGATTTTATATACCATTCACTGAATTCAATTCCACCATAGCTTCAGAAGTTGTAGTGGGCTTATCATCAGTACTAAAAGCTTTTTGATCATTCACATTTATCTTACTTTCCTGCGAAGATTAAAAGGGATCTCTGGATTCTCAGATTCATCATAAATGGAGTGCTGTCAAGAAAAGAATTATTTCAGGTCTCAAAGTCTGGAATATCTCATTAATCTAAAGTTTTTAACCAGGTGTTTGAGCAGGCAGTAGACCTTATATACTACCGACAAAAAAAAAGCCACTTCAGGGATTGAAATTATTATATATAATAATATCCACAGCACTGATAAAATCGTAATTGCAATCGTAGTAGTAATTCCTACCTGCGTGCCTTTATGACACTCTTGATTTATTAGCGAATGTGCACTAAAGTATTTTTTTACCGTTATTATTGATCATGCTTTAAAGTGAATGTCTAAACGAATTGTGAAGATATTTTCTCGGAAAACGGCAATGTAAACATCGTATGGGAGCGACCATTATTATGATTACTGCGCATGTCCAAACTGAATTATGGGCGATCTCGGAAGCAGACAATATGCGAGAGTGTTAGTGACACGTGTTCGATAAACATGAAAGAAACTGAGGTTTTAATTGTCTCTTATCGTGGAACAGCAGAAGATTTTAAAATTCTTTGGAAACTTCAAGTCTTTAAGATCCCTATTTATATTTAGATACGCCTCTGAGTTGTGAACAATGATAAAGTGAACAGGTCAGACAGGCAGCTAATCATCAATGTCTTGTCAAAGTTTGAGGTCAGCAAATATACAAAAATACTTATCTATCATTGTTTTTTTACTGATGATTTAGTAGTGAAGGTTATAATACGATTACAACTTTGACAATCACTTCAAATCCTGCACGTCAGGTCTTGTAATGTTTTCAAGTTTAATAGACTATGAGTTTATGCCACACTTGAAATGGTAATGGCACACTTAAATTATTAGGATGGTGCTCATGAGGTACAATTGAAAAAAAAAAGTTCGATCCCTGCACTTATTATGTGAATATCATTGCAAATGGAAATACTTAGATTTCAGTTGTAAACTTTCATGTGGGAACAATGCGATTAATCGAATCACAGAGCAGATTAAGTATCCAAGTGTAAAACATTAGAAGAAGAAGAGTATTTTGTCTTTCAGTTGAATATTGTAACATTACTACCACTCTTTCAGCTTTGGCTACTGTTGGATCTGACTGTGAACTGGATGTGGACTGCATCTCACTGTTCCATGCCCACTGCCACGAGGGTTCCTGTAGGTGTAAGGTTGGACATCGCCTTGGTGGCAACATATGTCGCAATTACACAGGTACAGTCGATAGAAATGAACGTTTGACATACAGACTAAAAGTCCACAACAACACTAGTAAGCAAAGATCAGTTTCCCAACCCCCAAAATGAAAACGACAAACATGAAGCACTCGGTCATTCAATATCATGTGTACCGTCCTCGCGCGTCAAAGACACAGGTGCACCTTGTTCTCATCCTCCATATCAAGTTCATGAACAAAGCTCGAGGAATCACATTCGATTCCTTTACCAGTGCTCTCCAAAGTCTTGGGAGATCCACTGGTGCTGGCCACAGCTGGGTGACTTGTGTACAGACGTCGACCGAGCTCATCCCAGGCATGTTCCATTGGGTTGAGGTCTGGTGAGCGTGCTGGCCACTCCATCCGCTCTTCGCCCTGCTGCTTAAGGTATTCCGTGACAATCCTGTCCCTATGGAAGGACACATTGAATCTGCTTTCATCTGTGAAGAGAACATGAGACTATTGACGTTGATTCCAGCGGCCATGATGTCTACTCCATCGCAAACGCGCCTGCCCGTAACGTGGTGTTAGTTAGTGTTAGCGGGTCACCAGCAGCGTAGTCTGGCTGCCAATCGACGAACGGTGCTCCTGCATATCCTTAATTGTTAACATTTAAGTGTTCTGTCAGACGATCTCCTGAGTTAAGCAATATGTTACGTAACGCAGTGTAGTCATGTGCCTATCATCTCAGACTGTTGTAACTCTGGGGCGACCTGGTTGACATGCATTTTCCACGGACCCATTGGCTTAAAATCTCTGCCACATTTTACCAATAGCACTCTGACTCACATTAAAGCAGACATCAACTGGCCGCTAAGTTTGACCAGATTTCAAAAGGCCTATTTCCTTACCCCCTTCAGCAAGTGTCAGTAAATGTCTCCTTTTAAGCTTCGATTTCAAAAAGGTACCTGAACAGTGAACGACAGTGAAAAAGCATCAATGCATGTGTATAGTTGTCCACTTTCCATGGATAGAACAACATGCACGTGCAAATCAATGACATTAAATGGCAGGTGTATTTCCATATTAACAATCTGAATAAAGAATGTGCCATTTGTAACAGAATGTATCGGGCGTTAAGGAACGTAATAATGGCACTTCAATGGCCTTAGGTGTTTTACATACTGTTAAGAGTGTTTGTAAAACATTCATTTGTATATATTTCAAACACAGACGAAGATTTTACTTTTAAGAAATAGTGTTACCAACAGTTTGACCCTTCATTAATGACACCGTGTTTAAATAACATAACCATAAAGCTTTGTAATTTAACCAGATGTTTCAAAGGCATCGATATGAGTGTTTATGGTGTTTTAAAGTAAAATTGTTTTTTCAACACCATTAATTAAGAAAGTGTCAACACTATATATGAAACACTGTAAAGACGGAAAATAATCTCTGATAGGTTAGCACATGTTTTGTTCTGCTTTTCAGAGCTATGTGTATCTTCACCTGGCTACACATTGGATGTTGACAGTGACACGTGCTACAGGATTGAAACAAGAGAGAAAAGGAACTGGACTGATGCTGAGAGAAACTGCACCGCCAACCAGGGGCATCTAGTCAGACCTGACACCGTGACCAAAAATAATAAACTGAGGACGCTTCTGGAACCAACAGGCTTAAGTATGAAACACTCATTGCATTATATCCTTTGGTTTTGTTGTTATTTATCGTGACATAAACTACTGGGCAAACGAAAGTAGTAGTAAACACAATAGTGCAACGAGACCAGGTCCTTCCCAAAGCCTTAAGTTTCCAAATTAAGGCCTTGGGAAGTCCCTAATCCCGTTTCGGTATTGTGTATACTACTGGTAGAGGTACATGCCAAATTTCACGAAAATCGGTTGAATAGTTTCTGATATATTGACTTTTTAGTGAGCATGTGGTAAGTCTGGCAAAAGCTTAAATGTTCAATGTAAATTGCAGTATTTGTTCATAGTGGCTAGGCGATGCCTGTCCGATGTCTGATGCGGTCACAACACCACAAGGGAGAAAGAAATAGAGAGATGCGCAAGTTTTCTCCCTCGTGGAATTGCATCCAGGCGTGTACTCTCGACGAGAGCGCCCCGTTCTAGATAACCTTACCTAAAGTCTCGAAAGTTGCAAGGAAATCATAGAGGCTAGACGGGATACGAACTCACAATCACACAGTTGCGCGGCTGCAAGAAAGCAAGATGACCCCAGCAGCTTAGTGAACTGAGCCACCACGGCTCCCGTTGGTCTTGGTATTCGATTTTCCTAGTCTATGTTGAGCAAGCAAGCGGTGTGTCAGATTTCACAGTTCACAGTTCACAGGTCAAAGATCACAATTGTTTTTCCTAGTCTGGAGTTGAGCGAGCGCTGTGGGCGAGTTGCAGTGCATGTGTGTCTCGGCTCGGCTATTATTCATCATGTGCAGCTCACTGTAGAGCTGGTTGGCTGGCTGGCTACGTTATGTCGATTTCCGCGAAACAATTTATTGTGAATCTCCTATGATTTGTTTTTTTTTTTCTGTAATGCCGACCGTGTTTCACGTTCATGTAGTAGTTGTTGTTTGATCTCGCATATCTGTCGCAAACGAAGCGCATCTACTGTTTCCAGTGTTTTTGCTACTTCATCCACGACTGGATACAGTCCTATCCTGTGTGTTTGTATATAAATATATTTTATAACATAATATTTAATTGTTTTTCCTTTAATATCCGATCGATGTATTTGAGGCTGATACGGTTTAGATTATCATACATGTAAATATTCGAGACATGAATCGAACACGAACTCCATCAAGGCTTACTAAGGGTGTCGATCCCGGTGACGATACGACACCGTTGCTGATTGTGTCTGTCAAAACAGCGTATTGTCAACCCAGTCGAAAGTGTTCGTTCTGACCCACGAGCATCTGCAAGATAGACATTTATTATGAGCATGGTGTGAGATTTGATAGTCAAATTTGAATCGAAAAAATCCCGTTGGTAATCGGGTACGTCGAACCGTAAATATGAAGCGACGTCGTTTGAAGCTAACATATTGCCCATGTGGCCTGGTATTCGTGAAACTTGTACATCGAGCTCTGGAGTGAAAGACGTGAGATTCGTAATTTTGGAGACGTAACCATTGTTTTTAAAAGATACGTTGGGTGAGGTGACAGTCATGTCGATCAACCAGTCGGGCTGTTTGAAGTCTTCTTGTATATCTACGTTGTCTTTTAAGTGCAGGTCATACAAAGTATTTTGCTCACCGGGCAGATCGAATCCCCGCGTGCCTCCGAGATTGGCTAGCATTACATTGGGAAGATGGATCATCGTTTTTTATACAAAATTACGAAATGGTTTTCAATTGGTTATCAGATAATACTTCGGACGTGCACTTCAAACCCATGAGATGTATGTTGTCGAGTAGGACAATTTTGGTGAGCGATATCGTGTCTTCCACGGTCACGGTGACTCCCTGCAGACTGGTGTAGGCGTTAACATTTACCCGCATGCAAACCGAGCAAACTTGGTATTGTTTGACTCAGCGGAGTTTGATCCCTTTCACGATTTTGACGACGTCACGCGCTGACGGCGGTTCACAGACGTAGACATGGATGTACAGCCTGGATTTTGCCAGCAGACTTTCCAGGACGTTTACCACGCTGTCCAATTCCGACACCATCTGCAATGGCACATTTCGTGTCCCGGGTTTGCTCGACAGCATATGGGTTGATCTTTGCCTCAACGTGCTTACAATCACGCTGCGAAAGGCTGGGGTTATCATCCATTCGTCCTAGTCATTGGGGATCAGGTCATACAGAGTCGAAGGTAAGCAGGGTTGAAGGTCGTTCGCCTTGAACGTTGTCGGTCGTGCTCAGCTGATCGAGATGAATACATACTTCGCGATACGGAATAAGATCTGGTATTTCGTGCCGGTCATGGTGATTTCGGTGGTATGTCGTTCGACATCAACCCGAGCGTTCTAGCCAATGGTTTGAAGATGTCTTCGTTGAGTGAGCACACGCTGTAGTAGCCATCCTTCATTTGGTTGTGTTTGTCGTTGATGATCAGCCTGTTGTTACTGCCGCTGATGTTGATCCATCGCGGGTAGTAGGTGATATCGCAGAGCGAGACTTCGCGCTGACCCGATGTATTATCAATGGCGTTATTCCCGGAAGCGTTACGTACATAAGTAGATATGTATACTAAATTTAAAATAACAATTAAATACGTACAAACCCGGAGTGTTTTATTCTAAAAGTGATAACATAAGTGCTACCGAGTATTGTGGTCGATGCAAAGGATGGTTTACATTTCATAGTTCGGTTCATCGACATGTTTAAAATTGATGTGTTTTCGGTCACGAATGTGATAATGGTACACGCTTGGTTTAACAACCTGATGCAGTTCTGGCATTCAATTTCGCCGATCACCGAGTGCAGCGTGACATTGAACAACACTCGCTGTGATGTGCTGAGTCGGTCTGTATTCTCGTTTGACGTGTACAACCAGATCAGATGTATCCTGAAAGAAATCAGCGCCCCAATTCCAGGGCAAGACGTGGAATGCCGCAATCAATCCATACGATCGACGTGCGTACGAACGCATTTGCGGTGAATTCGAACTAGATCCGAAGACGGTCAGTAGATTGGTGTTTGGGCATTCCCATCTCTCGTGGAAGCCAGCAAACAGCTGGTGAAAGATTGGGGTTACATTGGAATGACGATTACATGGCTTTCGATGACAACAAGGATTACCGTGTTTGGAGGCTTGAGCAGGGACCCGCGGACGGTGTCTTCAGATTGAACGATTAAATTCGAACATACGTGGGGCCGTGCTGGGCACTCAGACGCAAACGCGTTCCAGCATCGTGGGTCGTGAAGGGACTGCTTTCGACGCGCAAAAACGGTTTGTGGCTAATGTCGAGGATGCCATTACTAGATCGGTCGATCCACCGAGTGCCATCAAATGCTATCAAAACATGCTGGAATACGCCTGTTCGAAAGTCGAGTTGAGTTGAGTTGAGTTGGGCTTTACATCACATCGGCATTATTCCTGCCACATAGAGACGAGAACAAGTTTGCATTAGTAAACATTGTAAGTACATACTCGGAATGAGTTTTATTTCAAAGACATATATTGATTACATTGTCAATTAAAAGCAGAGAAAGTCATAGCATCAAATTTAAAGGCAGGCAATTTGTTAGTCACATTTCATTGTTACAATTTATGGTTGTTACATTTCACAGTTACAATTTATGATACAGATCAACTTCCCTCAGGTAGTTCACTATCAGATGAGCTCTCACACGGGAGAACAGATCTTTTAGGTTTGTTGCTTCATAATGTGAGTCCCTTGCAGACGATAAGTCCACGCATTCAAGCAGAATATGCTTGATGGTCGACTACGTGTTCAGTGCAGGATTGTACATGGCTCCGAGCGACATGCAACTGAGGGTCAATAACGCGAGTCGAGTCGAGTCGTGCCGCAGTACGAAACATGGCACCGACACCGGAAGAAGTAGAACCACCTCGCCAACAACAACAGCGGCGGCAGCTGCCCCTGCACGTGCAGGCAAACAATCAGCGGCATGTCGATCTCAAAACGGCGCTGGTGGTCGGCGGGATTGCGGTCAGACTGTGCCTCATTTGGTTAATAATTCCTTAGCTGCGACGTACACCAGACCCGACACGGCGATGACAAAAGCCAACAGGTTTTGACCGAGCCATGTGACCGTTTTAGACAAGAAGCCTAACAACCAGGAAACGATGCTGCCCAAGATGCCAGGCAGAGCTTCGACAGCTTTGCCGGCCAGTTTAGCCAGGGCCTCGCCGAGAGATTTCAAATGTTTTTTATCCAGTCACCCGATGATGATGATGATGGGCTTGGTGGTGGTGTTGGGCTTGGTCACTGATACGACCAGGGTCGAAATAATGGAGACGAAAGTCGTCAGAACACTGGTGATGGTGATCCCATGTTCCCGGGAACAGAATTCGAATCCTGTTAGTCAACGTGGTGTACTCGTTCAAGACTCCGTTGATGGTTTCGCGCATGCGGCTGATCTGTGATCGGAGGGCTTTCTGGTTGGAGGAAGCGGCTTCCAATTGGGTCCGTGTCTCGTCTTCCAGGTCGGGAAAGGCCTTTCTCAATGATGTTTTTCGTGGCCTCGTCGTCCACGATCCTGAGTTTTCTTTTCTCGCAAGCGATGTGCTCATTGATTTCATTCAGTTCAGTTGTTGGTGACGTTTTTCAGGCCTTCGTCTAGACCGCAAAGTTCCCTGAGGAGAAATTCTAAACTGGACAAGGGTTCGTCCCAGTACTGGGTCAATAATGTTTCGATTCGTCTGACGCTTCTTTGCCATGCTGGGGCTCTTCTCTCGAATCGGCGCCAGCACCACCGAGTTCGGTCCGTCCCTTTTTTGCACATCTCAGACAACCTTTGGCAGAAGTTTGGGACATCGTCCGCCACCATAATCTCGGAGGTTTAAATTGTCATGGATCAGTTGCCTACCGCCACGGCGACTGACTAGTGTAGACAGGGTGAGCGGTTTTCTCGTGTGTTTGTTCATGAAATCGACCTCCGGATGGGCTTTTAATCGCAGCGTCCCTTCATTGTTGATTTTGAACTTCGGATAGTCATGACCCAATGGTTTGATGTAATTTTTATCACG